GTGTGACTGATGACGCGGAACATTGCATTTTCGAATGTAATGTCTTTCTACAAGAACGTCAAAGACTGAGAATTAAGCTAGGAGAGGTCACGCCCAATAATATACTGGACTTAGCTATGCAGAACAGAAAGAACTATGATTATGTGTTAGAAATAATAACGGAAATCATAAAAAAAAGGAGACGCTAGAAAGAGCGAGACAGGATGAAGGAATAGGCTGAAAGACTAATAAAATAATTGTAATTCGCGTTTTTTGCTCATTAGACACATACTTCAGCGTTCTGTACTAATTTTATAGTGTAACTGTCCTATTTATTTACTTATATTGTTTTTTTATACTGTCATTATGTCACTCAGCTACCTTTGAGACTCTCTACCGAGGACTATACTAGGTTTTCGTGAAAATTGGAGACCGCGGTGGTGCTCCCGAAGTTGCATTCGCCAAGAAAAGTTCCGGGTGCGCTGCTGGAAGAGAGGGTGAGTTTAGTTGGTAGGCGCCTGAACTAACCTTATCAACATTCCAACGTTATAGTTCAGACGAATCCAACAGTATCTGGGTCCTCTTCCCAGATCTCTTTAGAAGATTCTCATCCAAAAAAAAAAAAAAAAGTATTTTCCGTTAATACATATTCCTCTGTTTTCCCAATCTGTTGATTTTATTATGTCTTCGAGGGTCAAGGTAAACAGTTTAGGTGAAATTATATCGCCTTGTCGGACTCCTACTTTAACTTTTATATTATCCGTATATACAACTACTACACCCTAAAAAGGACGAGGGTTGTACAACAGACGAAACAATTGAAAACAAATTATTTAACAGCCAATGCTAAACAAGCATAAACACTGTATTGATTGTGATCGCAAAAACCGTTCGCATGTTTTAAATACGGTTTTTGCAGATTATGTATTTTTTAAAATTATTAAATAACAAAAATACAACCCACGACCATCAATTAATTTTTAACTATAAACAGAAGAGAAATATGATGACGTTTGAATTTGATCTACTTTGTCGATGACAGTATCGTAAACAGAAAGATATTTTAAACAGCATGAATAATTTTTCAATGATTGTGTGGATTTAAGAAATACATTACTAAACAATTTTTTTAAGTGTGTATAAAATCTTTGTCCTTTGTAAAATTACTGTCTTTTTTCCAGAGATTACAATTATTATGATACATGGTATTTACTCCTTATTTTTCAAATAATATGTTCTTGTAAATGTATAACTTTGATTATTGGGTAAACCTACATTATACGATACGTCAGAAGAAATTAAAAAAAAAATAACATATAATAAATTCACTGTTTAAATAAATATTCCGCTCTCATACTATTGCAATAAAATTATAAACCAATAAACGAAAACTTGTTGAGCAGTGCTGATTGAAACAACAGAGCAGTAAAATGTTATTCATAAAGGTAGTGACTAAACTTATGACATAAGTTTTACGTTTTTGCGCACAAATTGACGCATTTCTTGTACAAGAAACTGTAACGGGCACAAATTCTTGTATCGTTTCTTATATAAGAACTATACGCTTGTATGACACTATCAATTTTTTTGTTATCAGAAACGATATAAGAAATGATACAAGAAAATGCATAGTGTCATACGGCCTTAAGAAGAATGATATGGGATACTCAAAATCCTTTTTCACCAAGTGATGCTCAATTTAGGCAGCAATTCCGTCTTAATAAACAAGCTGCAAATTATTTGATAACGATATTAGAACCATTGGAAGAGGGTGTTTATGCCTCTAGGAGACCCAAAATGTTTAGGATAAGTATTATTAAGCTGCAGTAAATTTAAAAATATATTAAAATATAACCAATAAGTCAAAAGCCACCATAATTTCTTTTTGGTCCACAGACAATTTAGTGCCACCATCACCGACAGCCTCTCCATCCATTTTCTTTCAATTCAAAATATAATAATTGAGAATGGCCACTAAAAATTTATCAAGTCAAACAAGAAACAAAAGTCGTAACGGAAACAAAACAAACATTTAACAAGCGTTGTGCAGCGCAGCCAATAAACAAGACGACCAACCCAAATTCTGAGCAATGATAAAGTAAATATCCCCACTTTTAACTAAAATCGAAATGAATGAGAATCGCTAGCGATTGCGACTGTCATGGCGTAGTCGCTTTTAAATTTCGACATCGAAATGAAATAGAATCAGGGCCCTGGATAACTAATTCCCGTCCTAACATTAATGGCAAAAAAATAAGTACCCAATAAACAAATGAAAAACCTCTTTCCCGAAGAGGCAGGAGCCTAAAACAGGGGCTCTCTCTAGAGAGAGTAATCACGGATACAGTCAGTACACTGATGATGGAATTTACATTCCGAAAACGTTCTGTTATAGCCCGTTAGGGTATTTTTTTATATACCTTTTATAAACGATTTTAAATAAAAAATGTAACTCAAATATTATATTTTAAATACACAGGGAAAATTTTATGGGTTTAGTATACACTTCCACTATTTCGATTAATTCTTCTTTTTTCAATATCTGAGCTATTTACGAGGAACCCCAAAGTGGGCGACGCCTGGTGGTAGTTTTCAAAAGCATCCACTTCGGGAAAACATTCAAATTGTCAATATTTTGTATACGTATTAGCGACCGGTTTATATTGTAATTAACAATAACTTCGAATTTAAATAACTATTGCAGTGTTCCTCAATGTTCATCCTATTATAATTCACAAAAAAAATTCCATACATAAGTTTCCGCTGGACGAGAATATGAAAAAAGTTTGGCAATGCATTTTGTGAATTGGCAAACATATAACCAAGTACGTGACTGTGCAGTTTACATTTTACTGAGAACAATTATTTTCCATATTGTTCTGAAGCTATTTTCTTGTGCAATTTTACTGTTTGTATTTTGAGAATGACTTGAGGAGTGGAAATTGAAACGTCAATAAACGTACTCTAACCTTTAATTGTAGCTTATTCTCAGTTAAATAGTAATTAATTTCAAGTGTTGATTAAAATATTATTTATATTTTAATATACCTATTTATACTTAATTTACTTTATTTTCAGTAACACCTGAAACTAAATTAAGAAGACTGAAGAAAAATACTGTTCCATCATCTAAATTGCCCCAAGGGTCTCATGAAGTTATTAGTAGAAAACGTAAGGCGTAATTTACAAAATATAACGTGGCCAGCTCCAAAAACTGCCTCACCCTCAACTAAAGATCTCTGCCGATCTTGCAACCATATAAATAATTAAGATAATGTAAATTTTACTTCCTGTGTTCAGACATACTGTAGAAAAACAAATATTTAATTTTATTTTTATTCAGGTTTGGGAGTCAATTACCTTATGTATAAACTCGAATCACAAACAAATGAACTTTAAAGAACGTACTCCAACTTTTACTTTAGCAAAACACACGTGTAAATGAATTATGTTAAACGTTTTATACCTTAGAGATCAAATGACAAAATGATTTGTTTTCCCGAAGTTATCGCTTCATCTTTACATTCTTCAGCGCCCCCTGTCGGAATTGGCTATCGCGAATTAATACTGGGAGGTAGGAATTTTTGTGTTGTGGGTTGCCGACTGTGAATCTGTCAAAATTAGGAAAAGGAGACCAAAAAAAGTGGCCTCTGATGGCGGGCATATCCGGAAATGCAAAGGCGCTAAATTTAAATTTTCCAACACTTGTTAACAATAGCCGTAAAATATTTTTCAGACAAGAAAGTTTTAATTAAAATATTAACGATAATAGTCTAAAAAGTGACACAATTGGTAAAAAAACTTCAATATAAATAAAATTTCATGTGACAGTTGGGACAAACAATAACATAACCAAACTAAATTTGACTTCTTAAACAAGGAAAGAGACTGTCTATCCTTGTTTAAAGTGGCCTCTCAAGATAGCACTTCCTGTCTAACAATATTTTTGTCCCCACTACCTTTACATTCCCTCTTTTATCTTTTTGCTCGATGGCTCGAGGTCACCGAACAACGGACCGTTGTTCGGTGTCGAGGTTCCCGAGCCACCAAACACCACGTTGTTCGGTGCCCGAGCCACCGAACCCGAGCTAAGCGAATGGACATGGACCAAACAACCCCCTACGCTAGAACCATAGAGAAATAACAAATAAGTAGATAGAAGTAGCCAAGGTTGCCAAGTCTAGAGATTTATCCCGAATCTAGGGATATTTCAGTATAAAACGAACAAAGGGATTTTTTTGATATTTAGTGTAAAATCTAGGGATTTTTGACCGGCTCAAATATTTACCTATTATAATAACATTTTCTTTAATTCACTTATAAAACCACTTCCTATTAACAGTATTAAATAAGCGATCTTTCATTACAAATAACTACTAATAGTAAACTACTTAAGGATTCTATTATCAAATGTCGCTAACTGTCCACATTCTTGGAATCTTTATTTTATGCTACCAAATAGATTTTCTACCAAAAATAGATTCCTATATATTTTCAGAAAGGAGAAGCAAATTCTGGAGCATGAATTAGGGGATTTATAAAATTTAGGTTTTATAAAATAAATCATTGGGGGATTTACAGTAGGAATCGGGTGAATTACAGGATTCGTGGAAATATACAAATAAAATACATAATAATATATTAAATGGAATATTCAAAGCAATAAATAAGTACGTTATTCAGTTTTTGTTAAATTTATTGAAAACCTCGCTATTGTACCGTTTAAAAATGTAATGTTTTTGAAATAAAGGTATTAAACAACAATTATTTTTTTATATCCAAGTTATTATATTAGGCAACCATCAATATATCCTATCATTGTATTTAGAATTGGGCAACCATATATACATTTATTCCAATCTAGGGATTTCTAGGGATATTTTAATGTTCATTTAGGGAGGACAAAAATGTTCACCTGGCAACCCTGCGAAATAGCTGCTCTGTGGCACCGACGGTGTCTGTGGTAAAACCAACGTGAACAACGATGCAAATAAAAATAAACTACTTTCTTAACATAACCTCTTTCTTACCACTGTCATCGTGTTGGTAAAAAGCAAAGAATATAGACGCTTATAGAAGAGCAGTTCAAATGGGCCATTTGGTTACGGTTTATACGTCAAAACACTCCTTAAGAGGGTGGCTGCATAAACCCAAAGCGTGGTGCCGTGGCCGTCGGCTTTAATGAAATATGTAGTTAGGGGGAAGTGGGAAAGGAGTACGAACCGAGCTATTTATGTAACTTTGCATCTACGCCTAAACAAATTTCGATGCCATTGATTTGCAAACTGTCTTTTTTTTTTGTTTTTTTCACAATAAAATCTTTAATTTTAATATATTAAATTGTTAAATTTTTAATTTTAAAACTTAAAAATGTATGATATTTACAATATTCAAAGTATTTATTTTTTTAATTTCATAACTTTGAATTAAAAATATTCATACACATATCCTACATTACGAAACACCGTCACATAACTTTTTATTATACTGTTTTTTCTGCCCAAAAATTAACGAAACATTTGTAAAAAATTTCAAAATTTTTCAACCAAAAATTTAATTTTTTCAGGACTTTTCGTCAAACTTTTTAGATAATTTTTCAAATTATTTCATTGAACAAATGTCCTGTTCAAAAAAGTATTCAATGAAACTTTTTACTAAATTATGAAATTTTCCATTTCGCCGAAACTTCCATTTCATCCATAATTTTTTAATAAGAACAAAAAGCATTCCTGATTTATTTTTGAAATATTTAACAGTAACTTTTAATGAATAGTCTATGTGAAAGTTTTTACGCTGTATGGGTACTATTTAATCTTTTTAAAATAACAACTAGTACTAAAACATAATTAACTAATAAAGGTATTAGTAATATTATTAAAAGGAAAAATAATAATATTTATAATATTAATGACATTCTGTGTATAACTTAAAATATAAAGCAGTGAAATAAAAGCATAAAAAAAATTGAACAAATAGATAAGGTATTGAAGAAAATAATCTAAAAAATTGTTATAGCTGAATGTATTCGCTCCGTGCGTGACCATGGTAGGGGTACCTTGAAACGATGCCAGCGTGCTTAGCGGCGAAATATGACCTAATTGGACCTATCTTTTTACGCATAAATTTTATCAAAAATGTTGTACAAATACATGTTGCGTATTTAATTGTGCTAATAATAGCCAAAAATATTGAGTGTAGTTTTTATAGGTTCCCAAAGATTACATATAAATTAAAGAAAAGAAAAAGATGGATTTGTGCTATTAGCATGAAAAAGTAAATATCACATAATTTCATTTTTATGCGATTGAAATAGGAAAAATTTTAATAATTTACCTTAAATAATATTTCATAAGGCTTCAAGCTAACTGCCTGATGACTTTAGCTTTTATATCATAACTTTTATTATTATTGTTTTTAATTATATGGTCTTTCACGTGAAAAACTTAATTTTCCAGTACTTACTAGATTTTTCCATTTCTTTTCCGTTTGGGTTGAAAAGATATATTATGATGAATTGTGAGAAACCCAGTTTTAATACTACATTTATTTTGTACATAAACTGAAAAAATATAATTAAAAAACTAATTATTAATAATTGTCAATTTCGCATGTATTTAACAATGTCAAACATATGTCATATGTTTAATCTGAAAATTGGGGGGTCCAAAACTGTCAGATGAAGGCGGTAGGTGTCGCGTGAGTTACGCACGGAGCAAATATTTAAGAAATTTTTTATTCTAAAATTGAAATTGCTTTTTTTACATTACCTATTGATGACCTATTGATAACTAAAAATTCTAATAACCGTTGTCGATGTGATTTACAAGAGTCGTCAATGATTAAAAATGATGGATTGATTTCATTTAATTTTTTTTATACCATTTAAAATCAACTTACTGGACAATTTCCAAATAACAAACATTTTTAAACTTAACATCAAAAATATCAAGTGAAATATGTATTACTTCTGTAGGTACGCAAAGATTACCAAGTTTGTTAGTATTTTGAGAAACTTTATAAGCTTTAAAAAAATAATAAAAGATCTGTCATTGAAATAAAATTAACATTTTTATGAACAAAATAATTTTCACACTTTTCACAATTAGTTTTTTTTAGACATTTGTATGCAAAATATCCGGCAAGGTACTTGAGTGAATTGAGATAAAGAGAAAGTTGAGCCAGTCGAAGATGCATTATTTGATACTCTTTCAAATATTGATAAACATTTAAAACTCGTTTCTGAAAGTTCCTCATTGATGGTCAAATTTGTATCAAATGATTTACAATCAAAAACTTCATTCAAGCTAGAAGTACTATCTAATTCATCTTCGACAAAGTCATCAACTTCCTTATAAGATATTATCGAATCATCATTATCGCTATTACAATCTTGTGCATCTGAAAACCGTGAGCATTTGTTTAAAGGATCATTAGAATAAATAGTATTCTTAATATTTGCATCATGTTTTTTCTGACATCTCATCCCCTGCATCCATAAAAGCGCAAACCTCTAAATCAGTTACAGAATCAATACGTTTATTATTAAAGCTTATTTGTCCATCATTTTTTTTCTTCAATAACTTCATTTAATTCATCGAATGATTTTTGTAAATCAATTAAATTCGGAATTGCTATATAGTAGCGTTATAGTTTTCATCTAATTACGTGAGGAGGGTCATAATTAAAAAAAAAATTTCGACCAAATTTTTCAATGGATGGTTTTTTCTGGCGTTATTCCAAATTTTTTTATCGCAGTTTTGACTGCTACGGCCGATATCGCAAACCACACTTTTAACTTTAAAACCGGCTTCTTCAGAGAAATCTAAATCATTTAGAATTAAATTGCTTAGTTTTTTTCCAGGTACACAGTTATGGGCGACATAGTACTTAATAGATTGCCTCCAATCAGTTTGTCTAACTCTTAACATGAAAACTAAAACGTGATTACCTTCTGTTGGAGAGCGACCTAGTTCTCCCAAATATGTGAACCCCTCAACGATATCTTTTTTAGTATTATAATCTAGCCACTTTTTTATGCTCATTTCATCCCACGATAAAAACACATTCCTTTTTCTTTGGAGTGCATTAGCGACGATTTAATTTGTAATAATGTCAACAAAGTGTTACATTTACCGGGTTTTAAATCTAACTTATTAATCCAAATTCTAATGTTACTTACGCAATGGAAACTTAAAATGTTTTTTTTTCTCTCGAAGGTAGCAATACGCTTTTGGAGATCTATAAAATAAAAGATATAGCATACTGTTTATCTTTTTCAGTCCATTTACTTTTCTGAATATGGTTAATTTGCCTAACTAAAAATACTTTTATTTCGTCATCAAGTTTATTAAAATAATTTTTTAAACTTTATTGCTTCGTTTGAAGCTTTTGTACGTTTTATTTCATTTACGAGTTAAGTTGTATATAACATATATACTTGGTTTTTATACCTATTAATCATTTTGTTTTTAGATTTACTTTTTGCCTCATATTTGTTTACAATTTTATTTATTTTTAACTCTGATGTAGTTTTTAATCGTTTTAATGCATCTTGTGCATTTTTAACTTCTTCATTTTTTTTTATTTAATTGGATTTGGACTGAATTTTTCTGAATACAATTATCGCTTAAGTTAGGGTAGTTATTAGAAAATGAAGAAAAATTTTGGTCACAATTTGAAAAATCCAACGACGAAGACATGTGTGCATCATTTAGATTTTTGACGGTATGGTTCACTTTTAAGTGATATAGGAATTTTGAGATTTAATTAAGAGTCATTACTGAATAAATATTTATTGTTAATTGTTGAATAAGAATTATCAGTTCTATTTTGCAAAGCTTCGAATATAGCAGAGGTTACCTCATTTTTAAGAATAGCTGTAGGTTTTTATTATATTCTTACCGTTTTGGTTTATTGATTTTATATTGCTATCAGTAAAATGATAGCTGCAAAGAAATTTTTGACCAACTTGATTCTCTGTTAAATCTAGAAGAGTCGAATTTCCGGAATGTCGAACCCACAGATGACGTCTAGATAAGTTATAATTTTTAAGTAGTAAAAAATAAAAATAAACTTTTTATTTTTCTAATTGCGTTGTCCGAACAATATTTGATGTAATTGTACTATAATTACTCAGTATATATTTTGACAAAGGTTCATTTAAAAATTAAATTAAAAAGTTTCAAAAAATAATTTTTTTTTGAAGCTTGGACAATTGTCATTCAGCCAGTCTCGATCAACAGAAGTTTATTTAAAGAATTTAAATATAATACAATTACAACGATAAAACCTCAAATTACATCTTACAGACCTCATAATTAAAAATAATGGTCTGTATAGTCTATATTAGATATACGAATAAATAACACGTTTCGCCTAATACCTCAAATTAATGAAAAATGTAAATATTGCAATTATAAATCTGTATGGCAAAATAAGTTACTCAGATTTAATAATTGCATTTTTGCACACAAATTTAATATCCATACTTGTCAATACAATCGACATACATTTAATTTAATACTTTTTTTTTATTTTATATACATACTTATATAACTATGAGAAATTCAGAATAATGTTATTTGCATCTAAATTCTACATTCTTTGTCAGTGAAAGGAAGGTAACGAAAAAGGTCTGTTGGCCAGATGTTGGGCACTTATACTGCTTATACCCTCTTGAATGGAAGTAGAGTAGGTACCGTACATTTGGTATATATAATAAAATTTTATAAAAGCATGTGAAGAACTATAAATTTGAAATAAAATTGTTTGAAATATAAATATTTTGTAAACAGAAATAGTTATTTTAAAAATTATTTTCTTCTAAGAAATATGATAATAAGGAGCAATGTATCAAATTAAATATATAACAGTGTTGTGTTTTAATTTTATGTTAAGATATTATATTAAAAACAGAAAAGAAATTATTAAATTTAGAAATTTTGGAAATATTTTAACGATATAATTAATAAAATTCATCATTATCATCATTCTGTCTTTACAACTCTGCGTGGATTTTAGCCTTCTCATGAACTTCTTTCCAGTCGTTCCTATCCATTGCCTTTCTCCGCTAAGTAGGTACGTACAGAGAACTCGTTGTTATTCCATTAGGGTTAGGTCCAACAAAACTACACAGTACAAAACGGAGAGATATTAATTGCACCTTTTATTCCAATTAAGTATTCATCTTTTTCAATCTAGATTAGAAAAAGAACAAAATGAGATAAAAAGAAATATGGATGTAGAACAAGAATACAAACAACCTTAAAACGATAATAAAAAAAATTGCTTATGAAGTATTAGGAACAGAGAACAACGACAAAAACACCACGAACCACCATAGATGACAGAAACCGTAAAATAAACGATACAAGAAAAAAAACAAAATGTATAAGAAATGGCTAACAAATATAAACACATCTAGCAATAGAGTAACATATCAAAGGAAAAACGGAGAAAATACGCAATCAAAGAGTACGGAGAAATGTATGGATGTTGAAACACTACAACGCAAACATGACGATTTCCATATGGACAAAAAAAAAATAAAGAGGTACAGAATACCAGAAAAACAACACAAAACAGGAATAGTTGTAGACATTGAAGGCTAAATGTTGACTACCATTGAGGATAAATTACGAAGATGGAAAGAATATATGCAAGAATTATTCGAAGATGCAGCACGAAGTCCGACTGAAATAAACAATCCCCACGGCCCAGAAATAACAAACGAAGATGTTATGGCCATTAAGCGGATTAAAGATGGAAAAATCACCAGGACCTGGTGAGGTTGCATGGTGAAATTTTTAAGTCTATTAGAGGCACACTAATACTAATACAGAGAGCCAGGGATGTCAATTGCGATCTGTGTTTCATTGATTTCGAGAAGGCATTTGATAAAATCCCACATTGGGAAACTAATCGAGATCCTAAAAACATCAGGACTCGATGATAAGGATATAAGACTGATCTCAAACTTATATATCCAACAAAAAGCAACAATTACGAATTAGAAAATGAACTGCCCGAGATCTTCACAGTCGAAAAATGAGTTAAACAGGGTTGCATATTGTCACCGGCATTATTTAACATTATACTCTGAAAACATCTTTAGAGAGGCCTTAGACGAATCAGAAGATGGGATTGCTGTAAATGGCCAACACAAACAACATTAGACATGCAGACGATACAGTGTCTCTGGCAGACAGTGCGCAGGATGATGGATAACGTTGTAGAAGCATGTAAGAATAGTGATCATTAGTAAGAACAACCGGCATATAAACGCCCAAATTACAATTAACGATACACCGTTAGAAAGAGTGGAAAAAATATGCAATTTGAGCAGCAATATTAAGGATACTTGGGTTTATAGCCTACGAAATAAAAACTGGTATTGAAAAAGCCAGAAGCTCTTTCAACAGCCTTAGGAAGATTCTCTGCAACTTATCTTTAAGTGTTAATATACGCATAAGAATTCTTAGATGTTACTTTTTTTAGTGTCATCTTCTCTGGAATAGAAAGCTGGAAGAGAGAAAGCTGGAGTAGAAAGCTGGAGTAGAAAAGCTGGACCTTAGAGAAGATGCCATAAAATGATTGGAGGCATTTGAAATGTGGTGCTACCGACGTATATTAAGGGTGTCATATATACACCATACAAGTAACATTATTCTCCAAAGGCTAAGAAAAGCCAAAGACATTATCAACACAAAAAAACAGAAAATTGGCTTACTTCGGGCCACATCATGCGTAATAATAAATACCAACTTCTACAGTTGATTCTACAGAGCAAGATTTGAGGGTAAGAGAGACCCTGGACGTAGACGTATATCCTGGCTGGCCAATCTTAGGAAATGGACTGATCTAACGTCAACTGATCTATTGCGCCGCTGCTATGAATAGAATAAGATAGGTCAATGTGGTCGCCAACATCTCTAGAAGATAAGAAGCAAAATACAATTTTCTGGGAACAAAAATGTGTCCAAGTTTGTAAATTTAATTGGTGGTTCTCAGAGTACGGAAGCATGGAAAACTATCACTAATCTAAAATAAAACACTCATAACTCCTTAAGTAACTTAATTCCTATAGAACAGTGGGAAAATCACTATTGAAAATTTTTCCAACAGTCCAGATTGGAATATATGGGACAGGAATACAGAATGGAGAGACAAACAAATAGTAACATTAATACTATTAATAACGAGGTCCGTACCACGTTAATTAAAATAAAAAACGGGCGATCTCCAGGACCTGGGTAATATAGCTGTAGAGTTACTTAAAGCAGGAGGTCTACTTCTAATAGAACGAATAACTTTTCTAATGAAGCAATGTTGCAAACAAATTAAAGTAGCATCTGAATGGAAAACCGCTCACCTAGAGTCCATCTTTTAAAACAGGTAATCGAAAAGATCCTAACTGCTACAGAGGATTACGTATCCTACCTACTTTCGGTAGATTAGTTTGAAAAGGAAAGATAATTAAATGGAAAAATACAAGATGATGTAGGACATCTAATTAGCGAAGACCAAAGTGGATTTACGCCTGGTAGATCTAGCACTGATAACTTATATCCAACCAACCAATTGTTGGAGTTTATACTCCAACAATTAATAGAAAAAAGAATAACGATTGGCACCGAAGTACATCTAGCTTTCATCGATCTAGAAAAAGCGTATGATACAGTTCCAAGACTTTAATTTTGTGGCAAGCTTTACAACAACTCTGCATTAGTCCATACTTTTTAGGAATAATCACAAAAGTAGTATAGGGATAACACTACTTACCTAAAAATCGGAAATAAACTATCAGAGCCAATAAAAGTAACCAAAGGACTAAGACAAGGATGCAGTATGTTACCCTTAATCAGGGAGTAAAGTCCAAAGGAACAAAAAAAAGAATAGGGCAAACCATGGTTGAATCAGTTCTTTGTTATGGCTCTGAAGTATGGACAATTAATGCAGACCTGAAGAGAAGATTGTTGGCAGTTTTGAAATGGATTATTTGAGAAAAAGTGCTAGAACATCAAGGCTGGAAGGAAGACCAACGAATCTATAAGAAATAATGCGAATGCTACAGAAACAGAATAGAAAAAAAAAAAGTTTTAAAATGGTTTGGACACCTATTGAGAATGCCTGACTAACGTTGGCTCCAAAAACTTCACAGATGAATTCGCCTGGAAGAAGAAAAAGAGGTAGATAGGATATAGGAGGTATGCTGATCTGAGAACTATCTCCATAACTCCTCCGTCTATAACATTTATCTTTACTGTCGTTCAGTATGTGGAACAGAGATCACAAGTCTTCTGAGTTAAGGTCTTGATTTTGCCTTTTTAGATGGGTCCTTCATCAAGTTTTTTTCTTGGGGTCGCGGGTGAGGATCATGGGGCGCTTAGGCATATTTATTGAAACAATTATATTTAAGTTTACTCTCTCCCACAGGCCCCTCAATAGTCTTCACCACTTCAGTCGTCCATTTTTTTTTGTATACTCGTTAACACAGTTCACCCACAGAGTCCCTTTGCTAAACGATGTTTTATGGAACTGCAGGAGTTCATTTTGACCTTAGATAGGAGCCTCAAGTGCTTGCTCTAGTTTGTTAATGATCAAATTTGCTTGAGCCCGATCTAGTTGAGTATCAGGGTGGTGTCTGTTGTCAGGGTGCTTTATGACCTAGTCTGCTCGTTAGAGCACTTTTGATTTCTTAGCAACTCTATTACAAGGGGGTGATTTTATTCTCCCCAAGTCTCATTTTATCGTCGGGTGTTGCTGATTTGGATTGTTTAAGGATTTGCTATGGTCTATGCCCCAGCTGCAATTTTTGCCTTTTTCTTATCTTCCTTTGTTGAGCTCTGGTGATTAGTTATTTGAGACTTACTTATTTTTTTAATTTAAAAATCCGAAATTATACTTCACAATATATAAAAAATAATTCTTTGGTGTATGTGTTAAAAGCAATTCTAGCGTACTAACAAGATCAGGAATTGTTTTTTGATCGAAACACCTTACAATTTTTGAGCTTTCTCTCCCCCGGTGATTGCCGCTTAATTAATTTTATTTATAGTTTATAAGAAGAGAGTTTTAATTATATTATTTATACTTTTGTATATATTTGAATTAAAAATTTGAGTCATATTTTTTTAAAAAGATTAATTTATTAAAAGTTAAATAATAATAAATAATAATAATAATAAAATATATTTCTTTTCTTTAAAAATTTTTATAAAATGCAAAAATTTAATCCTCTTCTACGACCAACGCGGCATCTCATAAAAATATCTAAGTTGCATTTGTTGCCCCACTCTTTCATATTTTAGAAGCAATAACAGCGCTGACATGACCGCTCCCTAGTGAAACCTCGATCCATCTCGATCCACCTCCCTTCTTTTTTGTAACGTGCGAATCAACTCTGTTCAATCTTTCTCAAACTTGCTCTAAACGGGAAGTGAAAAATTCTTCTAGGTAAAAGGTCGGCGTTTTGTACTTTCTCTTAGAAAAATTAGATCACCTTTAGTTGATCTAGATTGAAGATAAATTTGTGCTTTAAGGAAGAGTAAGTACTTTTTAACATCTACCATTAATAATTAAATTTTTAGTTTTTAAATATATCTTTAATATTAGTAAACATTGCATCATTCATCTCTTTATTTAATATATTATTATAATAACTACCTTACTCTTCTGGCTCAGATTTTGAAACATATGTTATAGAACAAAGTGCATCGAATTTAAATTTAAGACAAATGAGCGTATTTATTTTTCACAATACTGTAGCCAATGAAATGTTTTAGAAGTACAATATTTAGAATTGAAAGGTAATCTTTGTAAGTGTTATACTCTATATTCGTTGGTTATACTATTTAAGTCTGTACATAACTGATAATTTATACTTATTGTATTATCTTTTAACATAATAGTTTACTAGTGGCAGAAAGGTAATACCACATTTTAATTTTTATATACTGTGGTAATACTATTACTTTAAATGTATAAGATTCATTAGCTTTTACACTAAGGCAATGCAATGTTCAGATCACCAAACAATTTCCTTGATGAGTCATCTGCTTAAAATATTTCTTAGAGTCATCCACAACCTAATCTATCAAAAGTTAGATATTGATATTAAGGATACACACATGGGATTCAGAAAATTATTAGGTACAAGAGAAGCTCTCTTTGCCTTAAATGTCCTAACACAGGGATGTCTACTCAAAGAAATCCTGGAAGGTAAGAACATCGACATCAGAGACATACAAATAATATTAAATCTGTACTGGAATCAGCGAGCTATTATAAAAATAGAAGACCAAACATCAGACGACATATAAATACGTAGAGGAGTATCACAGGGTTGTATATTGTCAATGCTCTTGTTTAAAATCTACAGCAAACAAATATGCCAAGAAGCTCTCTCACATGCAAACAAAGGGATAATAGTCAATGTTATCAATTACATTCGATATGCTGACGATACTGTGATAATGGCAAGAACAGCAGAAGATCTACAACATCTAGTTGAAAGTATGAATGAGATATGTAATAACTACGGCATAAGGAATATTAAAAAATTTTGAAAGCTTTTAGATGTGGTGCTACCGCCATATACTAAAAATAAGTTGGGTGGATAAAATTACAAATGAAGAGGTAATATGCAAAATAAATAACGGTCCAGATGTTATCATGAACATAAAAAGAAGAAAAAAACTTCAATACTTAGGCCAACTGATGAGAGGACAAAAGTACACATTTCTACAAAATATAATGCAAGGAAAAATCCAAGCACACAGAAATCCAGGCCATAGAAGAATGTCCTGGATGAGAAATTTAAGAGAGTGGTTTGGCTGTACCACAAACGAATTATTCAAAACAGCAGTATATAAAATTAGAATCGCCAGAATGATATCCAAACTCCAATAGGAGAGGCACTCAAAGAAGAAGAAAAAGCTTTTATATAATATTGTTCACATACTCGTTTTTGTTTTTTATTTTATTGAAGTTGTTAAATTCTTCGGTAAAACAAATAAAAGTTGCTTTTGAAAACACATTTCTAGTCCGCAAAAGTTGTCTTAAAATTTAATTTAGATGTATAGTGTTTTTTTACTTGTTTTATTCTCTCTAAATTTAGTTTTTAATATAGTTATTAGTTTTTAGCTGTAGTAAGCACTCTCTTAATGTAATAACTAAATAAATAAATAAATGCTTAAATGAAATAAATTATTGCTCACCCTAAAACTTACTTTTTTGGCATACTAATAAAAACAACCAAAGTACTCCTATGTAATCTGATGTGTCTTAGAATATGTTGCATTTACCTCAAATTTTTGTCTATTTTAGGTCTTCAAATAAGTAATAAACAATGGCCGTATCACTGACAGCTAAGGAGGTCCGAAATGCCTATATAGACTTTTTTAAGGAAAGGGATCATGTGTATGTACATTCTTCATCAACTATACCATTAGATGATCCAACACTATTATTTACCAATGCTGGTATGAACCAATACAAGTCAATTTTTTTGGGAACAGTTGATCCAAACAGTGATCTTTCAAAACTTGTTCGTGCTGTGAACACCCAGAAATGCATTAGAGCTGGTATGTATTATTTTAAAATAAGTTAAGTGGGTGCAATATAAAATTTTTGGGCTTTCATATCTGCATCTTGGAAGAAGACACATTTATTATTTGTTGTTGTCAACATAAGTGTTTATCATACCTTTTTGGCTTTAAAAATTTGATCATTTTGACAACAAATTTAATTAAAATTATTTTTTTTTTTTATAAAAAATGATGCTCTCATCTGAGGTTCCTGTGATTTACAGCTGTGACAGCCTTTTACACAAAGTAGAATACACATTTTTTAATCGGTATATGACATTATCTTGTTTTCCTTAAAAATGTGGGCTGAACAGACTGTTTTTAAAGGAATGCCATGCCAATCATAGTAGGTTTTCTTTCCAGATGCCATTTCATTAGCAACTTCGAAATATATTATTGTTTCAAGGAGAGGGTGGCTAGTGTCTTCTGGGATTAAAATATCATGACCTTGTTAACAGATAATTCCTCAGGACTGATAAAGATTGTGAAAGGCACATATATTATCAACAATTTCAATGGCTTCTACTTCAGCTAGAGAGATGGGAGTGTGCTTTTTCTTCTTCTTCAGTGCCTTATCCAGGTCCGGATGTTGGCAATCATAAAGGCTATCATGGTTTTGTTGACTACTCTGCGAAACAGCTCCGCTGAGGTCATCCCAAACCATTGTCTGAGATTTTTCAACCACGAGACAGCGTTCCGGCCCTCTTCTGCCAAATACTTTACCCTGCATAATAAGTTGAAGAATTCGATATTTTTTTTTCGTTCCGCATCACGTGGCTGAGGAGTGTGCTAATGAGGAAAAATCTTCTAGTAACCAAACAGCAGATGGAAAAGTTATATTCTCTGAAGAGATAAAGCTTTGAATTGGAATATTGCTAACTTACACTAAGCAGTACATCAGAGGGTGGTTAATATTGATCAATTCTGGATCTAAGTGGATCAGTGGTGGCCGTGGCTTTAGAGACAAGGTCGGCAAGGTTTTTTTGTCTTCTCAGATAGGTATACTGTTAAATAAAAATACGTCAATCATCATAGGAAATTTTTTGTTTTTTTTTCCTATAAATTTGGAACCTAAACACGTTTATAAATTAACTCTAAGTGTACATTGTTTGGAATTAGCAAAATGGGTTATATTGTCATCATTAAATGTATTGAGTTTTAGAGACTTTTAAAATTTTTTTCTATTGAAATTTTTTGAGACAAGCTCGACATTCTCTTTTGTTTCATGGTGTTTTAACAATGTTTTGATTTTTTTGAAACAAGAGACAAGAGAAATCCCGTTCATTTGAGGCAGAAGTTGGTAGTAATGACAGAATTAGTGACAATAATTTATTAATTTCGGTAACAGTTTGTTGTAATGTATTGCAGTATATAAAATTATACATATAGTGTAACTTATTCCACCTTCCGAAAATATTTGGATCAGCATATAAAACATTTAATTCATTTTGAGAACAATTTCCGAAGTGGAAAGTGAAACGTCAATAAACTTACTGTAACCTTTAATTGTGGCTCATTTCCATTTAAATAGTAATTACTTTAAAATACCACAAGAAACATATGCAATTTTTTTTTCATTACGTTTTAAATTCAGCAAGTACTGTATTATTTCTGATAAAATATAATTTATGTTCAAATTGTAAATTTTTTTATATGGAGCTTTTACTATCTGAGACAATAACATATTTATTTTTGTACTATCTGAGACAATAACATTTAATTCTGTTATTTTGATGGTTTAAAATATATTTAAAAGCCTTATAAAGGGCAACATCTCAGTGGATCTGTATACTATAGTTTAAATTACTTACAATGAAGCAAACACTTCTGGTGTAAGTGGTATCCTCAGTTTTCACTGTGATGGTTTGATAAGATTGAAAACATTCTGCTGAAAATTGGAATCCTTTTGGATATTTTCATTTTGGTAAATTTATAAATATACAATTTACACCAGAAATATTTAAAAGCCTCCGATATTGCTATTAATTCTGCAGAGTAAAAAACAATGCAGTGAAATATTTAAAGATGTCTATATTTTCCTACTCTAACAAAGCAAAAAAAGGGAACTGTTAGTGCCTCATTCTCACTAAAAAATGATATTATAAAGCTTATAAAAAAATTATAATAGCTCAGTTGATTGATATTTTAATCTGAACACAAACGATTCATTCTACTATCAGAGATAAAATGACGCTGTATTTCGTGAAGCGGTCTTTCTCTTGAAATTACACATTTGTTTATCATTTGATTGAGTTAAACCAATCAGACAAAGTTCTAGAATAATAGCTTGTGTCACTTCCCAGGAATCGACAGTTAGTACAATTTTAGTTACCAGAACACATTTGTCTTAAATCGTGATAAATTATACAGAGTCCCATAAAAGTTAGAACCAAATGAAATTTTTTAAAAGAAATTAAAAGATTTTTGAATCATTAGAAGTCTTTTTGATTTCCAAAAAACTACAGACAGCTTTCAGTGCTTGTAATCTTGCTGCCTGTATACTTTATCAAAACTTGACCTGTTAATATGTTTAAAAATCACGTAGTCTAGTGCAGCATTCATCCATCTTTTTCTCTCTGAATACTTTCTCGGCCTGCTCTCTATGCTGATGGAAAAAATTTCAAAATTGATTTCTATTGTTGACAATTAATACACTGGATGTTACTATTGAAAGAGGATGGATTGTTGATGATTTTTCTTTTTATAACTACATTTATGCTTTTATTTTGTTTTGTAGGAGGCAAACACAATGATTTAGATGATGTCGGGAAAGATGTATACCATCATACCTTTTTTGAAATGATGGGAAACTGGTCATTTGGAGACTATTTCAAGAAAGAGGTTTGTTCCTGGGCATGGGAGTTTTTGACCCAAAAATTAAAATTGGAAGCTGACAGATTATATGTAACATATTTTGGAGGAGATCCTGCTTCTGGATTGGAGCCTGACAATGAATGTAAACAGGTAGATATTGAGAAGTCTATTCATTTTAAAATTCATGCGAACTAAATTTTAAATGGACTTAATCCTAGTGACTAGGGTAATGTTTTGGTTTTTAGTTAAAAAGACTATTGGGTTTGTGTGATCGTTTTCCGGACTTACCTTTCTTGGCAGTAATTTGATAGTTGAAACTTTTGTTTTGGGTACTTCTTTGGTTAATTTGTATTACTTGTATTACTTAACTGGTCACTTCAGTGTTTTGCTTTTTTTTCTTTTTTTTTCTTTCTTGAAGCAAGTTATCATAATACTTGTTTTGTTTTTTTTCCTTTTTCTGTTTTCCTTAATTAAAAATTCAGCTCTGATAACAGCACTGTAAAGTCTTCTTCTAAAGACTACTTTATTGTATGTTTTTCAGATATGGTTAAATCTTGGTGTCAAGCCATCCCATGTCATTCCTGGTAGTATGAAGGACAACTTTTGGGAAATGGGTGAAACAGGTCCTTGTGGACCATGTTCAGAGCTTCATTATGATAGAATCGGTGGCAGAGAAGTCCCTGAACTGGTCAATATGGACGACCCTGATGTTTTAGAAATATGGAATCTTGTGTTTATCCAATACAATAGGGAAACTGATGGCAGCTTGAAATCTTTGCCTAAAAAGCATATTGATTGTGGATTGGGTTTAGAACGATTGGTGTCTGTCATACAAAATAAAAGGTTAGTATAGTTAACTACGTGGTACAGCAAACATACATGACGAATATTTGTATACAGGGTGAAATATAAAAGAAAATTACGATTTTCTCATATTTTTTAAATGTACAAATCTATATTTTTTAAATGATGAATTTTTTTTTTCAAAATGTTTCATTTATAATACTCTTTTATTATTTTTATGAAGCATTCCCTATACCAGCCGTCGGGGAACTTTTTTAATCATTACCCCAAAATATTTTTGTGTATGTTGATATTACCCCAATGCGAAGAGAAAAAAAAACGAAATCGCCTCTTCAGCATCTTTCATATTATAGCCCCCATGATAATTTTGTATTAGACTGTAATAATACAAGAAAAATATTGTATAAATTACAAAATAACAAAAAGTTATCATTTACTTGTATTTTATGTGGGGGCGATTTTTTTTTGCTCAACTGTATATAACAAATTGAAACTATTGGGGTACAATTGAGGGTTGACAATTTGGGGACAACAAATTATAATAATAATAATGGTGGTACAAACAAAAATTGGAATTGAAAAAATAAGAAAAAAAATAATGATTGAAAACATTCTTCCTTCATGTTTTGGAGAAATGATGTTGTTTCATGTTCGATACAATTGCTTCAAAATTGGCACTTTTTGATGTAAGAGCGATTTGAATACAGTCTTGGGCGTTTAATCGATTTCTGTTCTTCGTTTTTATGTCCATTAGAGTGGAAAAGCCTTGTTCACACAACTATGTTGTTCCAAATGGCAACAATTTTTTAACCGTCTCTTCTCATGTGCAATTTTGAAAGCCTTTGCAGCTTTTGACATCCAAAAAGACAACAGATTTGGTTTACTCTCAAATTGAATACGTGCTTCAGTATTAGATTGAAGTTCAAGTATTGCTTCTGCCAAACCTGAAGGTTCTTCTGGTATCATAGCAATTTCACATTTAAAAGGATCTACAATCCAACTGATGACAGTACGTGTATCAAGATCTGGAAAGTAATATGAAAACCGCTTTCTGAGTTTGAGTTTTACAATTGTATCTTTGATGTCGGCAAAAGTAATATTTTCGCAATCTTCCAAAAACAAAGCTAACCTTGAAAAATAAGTTATCTTGTTCTGTTGTACTTTGTGTCTCCAATATTGCAGCTTTAATCCAAACGCTGATACTATTTTTCTCGCTGAACTAATATTAATATTTTTTCCTTGCAATTCTTTGTTTAATATATTTATACTCTCAAAAGAGGTATTCAACCCAGGAAGAGTTTTTCAAACTTATCTGCGAGAATATTTTTTTTATCAAACGTAAAAATTTTGACTTCAGTTTTGAGAGTCCATACTCGATCTAGTACGTTTCCGCGAGAGAGCCACTTTACTTCTGTATAATAAAGTAGATCCGTATATTCAGCTTCATTGTCCTAACATAATTCACTAAATAGCTGCGTGTTTAGTGCCTGTCCCTTCATAAATATACAATCTTGATGACATCATGCATGACGGCTTCCAGTGTAGGTTCTAAATATTTGATCATAAGGGCCTGACGATGGATCATACAGTGAGTAACTTCAATAGTTGGGTTATTTTTTTTACGAAATCTGAAAAACCATTCATATGGCCCAACATAAATGGAGCTTTATCCAAAAATACAGAAATACAGGTTTTCCATTTTAAACTTTGCGCATTGAAGTATTCATTTACTTTATTGTAGACATCAATTTCACGAGATCTCAACTCGAGAGGAGAACAAAACAGCAAGTCTTGAAAATTATCTGCACCTTTCTAGCGAACATATACCATTAGCTGTGAATTTCTACTAAAATCAGTTGTATCATCAAGCTGAATAGTAAAATATTTAGCCTGTGTTTTAACGCGAAAATAACCTGTCCCTTCACATTTTCTGCTAATATAGAAATTCGTTCTTTCACAATTTTCGCAGACAAGGGCACTGCACATTTATACATATTTATTTTATTTAAATAAATTTAAACAATTTATAGAACAACAAAAAGATAATCAAAAACCTGACTTCAAAATCAAAGATCAAAAATCATTTCAGAAAAATATTTTTTATTAGTGAAAATATCAATTAGAGTTTTGAGATATGTATGTTTGTTTTAGATCAAATTATGATACAGATCTTTTTGTACCGTTGTTTGAGGCCATTCAAAAAGGTACAGGTGCTCCATCCTATCAAGGCAGAGTCGGTAAAGATGACATAGACGGAATCGATATGGCTTACAGAGTATTGGCTGATCATGCAAGAACTCTAACAATTGCATTATCAGATGGTGGCAACCCAGATAATACCGGCAGAGGGTAAGTATACCTAAAACTTTTAAGGCAGATATAATTAAATCATTTTTTGTAGATATGTTTTGAGGAGGATATTACGAAGAGCTGTCCGTTACGCCACGGAAAAGTTAAATGCAAAACCTGGTTTCTTTTCTACATTGGTCAACACTGTAGTCGAGGTTCTGGGCGATACCTTTCCTGAAGTAAAAAAAGATCCCCAAGGTAAGTTCTATTTCGACCTTTATGTTCAAATTATGCTTGTATGTTTTCGAAATTCTTATACTCTATAAATCAGTAGAGTAAGCTCTAATCAGTTCTTTTTTTTTTGATGTTGGTAGTTTAGTCTGCGATCTTGGATCTATTACTTCATTACTTCAAAAAGCTGACGGGTCCTTATGTTCTTCGAATAACGAATCTTCGGAATGTTTATCGTTACTCTTTTCTCAGGTTTTTACAGATGAACCTAACGATACTATTCCTCAAATAATATGCCCACACTTGTCTAAAACTCTTCACGACATATCTTTCACACCGGATGAAATTAAACATCATTTAAGGAAACCACTGTGCAGAATCTGTAGCCATCCTTATATCTCTCATAATGAATGCTTCTTTTAATTAAGGTTCTCTCCCTTCATCCTGGAAATTGGCTTCTCTTGGTGACTTACTTTTGCTATTTTGATTACACGGGTCTTCTCCATTCTGCTTATGTGGTTATTCCATTCTTTTTTTCTATTTTGCGTTCATTCATTTATACACTGTATGTTACATTTTCTTCTAGTATCTTCACTTCTCTTTCGATCTCTCGGCGTATTTCCTGTAAATCATCTCAGTACTCTCATCTCCGCCGTTTCCAGTAGCCTTTGCCCTGTGGCTGTGTCGGGTCTTGTTTCTGAGCCGTATGTCATTATTGGTCTTACACTGGCTTTATAAATTATTGATTTCATATCAGTGTCAATGTGTCTGTTTCGCCATATAGTATTATTAAGGCATCCTACCAGTCTATTTGCTTTTTGCACTTGATCTCCCACTTCTTTGTCAAGGTCTCCATAGCTAGACAGTGTAAATTCCAGGTATTTTATTTACATTACTTGTTCAATACTGATGCCATCAATTTCTATTTTACATCTGGTTGGTTCTTTGCTGATCAATATTGTTTTAGTTTTCTGAGATGAGATTGTCATATTAAATTCTTTTGCTCTTATGTTACATCTGTGGATCAGTCTTTGCAGACTATTTTCATCTTGGACTATCAATATTGCGTCGCCTGCGTAACAGTATTTTGATTTCTTTGTTTCCCATTCTGTATCCTCTTCCTCTGTTCCCGTGTTACGGGCAAAACCCGAAATCAGGCAATCCTAGCATTGTACGGAAATAATTGTCCACTTCTAGCATGATTTGAATGTCCGAAATGATTAAATTTATTCGCAAGTTATTCGCGATTGAAAGTAACAACTTTTAGACGAAAACATCGACGTTTTTAATCGATTTTTTCGCGAATAACTCGAAAATGGTGCATTTTATCAAAAAATTGTAGAGAACAAATTTGTAGCTTTTAAAAAGACAAATACAATTCATTTTTTAAAATGTTTTTGCGATATAATAGGAACCGAAATACGGCCTATCAAGGTTCAGCGGTTTTCTTCAAATGCCAAATTTGAAAGATTCAAAGTCAAATATCGGGAAAATGATGCATTTTTGGAAGAAAACTCACGCAACCTTTTTTAAAGAGCATAAATAGATCTGTCATAAAAAAAGACTCTAGCTCAAAAATTGAGTGAGTTATGATGAAAATAAGGCCAATACCTATTTTTTTTTACGAAAAAATCGATGAAAACAACCCCCTAAACCACCCCCATAATTAAAATCGATCTTCACCCTTCTGCAATTCTCTTTGTACATGTATTGTTAATACGTCCAAGAAGTTTGACCCATTTAAAATGCTTAGTTTTAGAAAAAGTACAGCTTAAAGCGAGAAAACGATTTACAAATTCATATTTTTTACCCTTCTTTTTTTAAATATCCCCGAAAATACTGAATATATGAAAGTAATAAAATGTACTAAATTGTAGCTTTTTTAATGACTAAAATTTTCCGTTATTTAGATTTGTTGTACAATGAATATTTGGCGAGATATAGCCGTTTAAAGCATCGATTTACGATCAAGCACCATCTTTTTCGAGCCCTTTAAACTCACCCCATTTAAAAACAAAGGGTTCCAAAGAGATTTAACTCACAGATCCTTGTAGCTCTTAAAAACCTCTACAAAATCGTTTTTGAGGAAACACTCTATCGTTAAAAATGAAGGAAATACGTTAAAAAAACCAATTAATTTTTTTTCGGAAAATTCCATTAGTATAGTACAGTACATTTTGGAGCATAATAATCTACAAAACCGGTATATTAGGTAGTGGGGCGTTATACATTCGAAATTTTAAGCGTTCTTATTTTGAAATCCCATACAACAGAATAAAACATTTGCTCATATGTTTATGGCTTGGCAATGAAAATATCAGAGCAACAGACTGGGGATGGTATTCCAAAGATGGTTTGTTATTACCCGTACGCATGAACAAACAACCTGCACCCGATGAACTTTTGAAAATTATTTTTTGCCAATGCAAAAAAGGATGCGGCGTTTCATGTGGGTGCAGAAAAGTTGGTTTATACTGTAATTTACTTGTTCTGGGTGCTCAGGTGAAGGGTGCAATAATAGTCAACCAATAATTGAAGAAGATGAGGATGACATAGATAACGATGAAGATGTAATTCATGACGAATAAAATTAATATTATAATTGTTTTACCTATAAATGTAAATATTTTCAACTATTTATGTAAATATATAAGAATATATGGTGCCTTTTTATGTTGATAAATTTTTTTGTATTTAATTCTACTTTTTTCAATTTATATCTATTAAATTAGTTTATAAATTGCACCCTTTACAACTGCAATGTTGTAAAGGGGTGATTTTCAAAAGTTGAAAAGTTGCAAAATTTTGGCAAAAAATTGTTTTTACCTATAGCACTCATAAAAATTGATTTTTAAGGGTTGAAAATGTATGAAATTGTATTTTAAAGTATAAAAAAATCACTATTTAACTAATCCAAACCAAATTTCACTCATCTTAAGATTTGTAATGTTATTTTATAATTTTTGAAAATTAGGGGTAGTTTTCACCCCTAAGAACAATCAGGGTTCATCGGCATGACATAAACTATAAAGCAGAGGGTGAGTTAAGCTTAATTCCAATTTTTATGCAAATCGTTCCAAGGCGAAATCATTTTCTTCGTATTACTAATTTTTTTACATTAATCTCTAACAAGGGTCGCTTTTTAAGGGTTGAAATATGATGGAACTTTATTCAAAAGCACGAAACTATCATTATTTAATTAATTCAAACCAAATTTTACCCATATTCACGTTTAATATGTTATTTTATAATTTTTTACAATTAGGCTAGTTTTCACCCCTAAGAACAATCAGGGTTCGTCTACATGACATAAACTATAAAGCAGCGGGTGAATTAAGCTTAAATCCAAATTTTTATCCAAATCGATCCAAGGCGAAATCATTTTTTTAGAATTAGTAATTGTTTTACATTAATCTCTAACAAGGGTTGCTTTTTAAGGGTTGAAATATGATGGAACTCTATTCAAAAGTATAAAATAATCATTATTTAACTAATTCAAACCAAATCTTATCCATATTCAGGTTTAATATGTTATTTTATAATTTTTGACAATTAGGGGTAGTTTTCACTCCTAAAACCATTCAGCGCACTTCGGTTCGATATAGATTTTGATCCTTGGGCTATCACCTATCTTCTGTTAAAATTTCAACTCAATTCATGCAAGACGAAAAAATTGCGAGGTTTTAACTTTTTTCGAGCTTCATTTCCTGAACTATTAAAAACTTCCTTAGACAAGCAACATTGTTACACAAACAACATTGTTGCGAGACAGATAGTTGAACGATATTTTATACAATGTCTATACCCAGGTATGGATTTATTTTTTTCCAAGTTTTATATTGGTCCACTATTTCAAATGCAGTTCAAACAGACATATATTAAATTGTATGTTCCGTTTTAAATTCGTTCTATCTGTAAATAATGAGAAGAAATTGTTCTGCAACAGAGTGATAGATAAAAGCGCATAAAAGTAGGTATATAGAAAGTTCCGTTGAAGAAATGAAGGAAAGTATTAGGCAGTGTTGTCATGTCGTTTTAATAAATCTCCAAAGAGCATGCGATATAATATTAATTAATTTTATTAAACATTATTTTTAAGTTTATAAATGAAGTTTAATTAAATTTAATTTAATATATTTTAATATATACCATTTCATCCCAAAATTATAAAAAAGTAGTCATAAAATTAAAATCTGCTAAACAGCTGTTGCAATCTGGCAACTAGTGTTTTAAAGGTTTTGACAATATTGCCAAGTTTATCCGCTAGTCTACCAAAGCACCAAGGGCAATTATAAATTTTAAACTAATATCGAAAGAAATAAATAGGTATTAATTCGTTAACGTTTTATATAAATTTAAACATCAGATTCCATAACATAATATAATAAAAATGTACTGTTTCAAAGAATATTGGAGGTATAAAACATATAAAAACAAATAAGGACATGGCAATACCGCAAACGCAAATTTGACATTTCATTTGTAGCCAACTTAACCGAAACTTTCTACATACTTTTGGTAAAATAAGTGCTTTATAAGTACATAAAAAAATTTCCTCAAAATCCCTAAATAAATAATAAATCTTTGACAAGAAAATAACAAAAAATTTGTGAACAACAAAGCTACTACCCCTCTGAAAATTATACTCTTAAAACATACCAAAAGAGTGGAATTCTTAGTTACATATTCCTCTCTAGTGGACATGACTTCAAGGTGATATTTTCAGTGAGTCTCTCAATTATTTTGAAATTATAACAAAGGCTAATTGTGTTAAATACATAATTCTATAAGAAAAATATTTTCTTACCTTTTTCAATGCTTTTCCATAGAAACTACGGGCACTTATTTCAGGCAATTCACAGGTGGCCATCGCGGTCAGATTTATAGATACTAACATAAACAAACTTTGACTTTCAAAATAAATATCGTAGATGGCGGTAGTAGTTACTTGATTAGAGTCCACTGAAAGGGACTTCATGCATTTTGCACAAGTTTCATAGAATTAAAATATATTTGAAGTTAAAAAAATCTGTCCACTGCAGTGGACTCAATGCATGAGAGGGTTAAATATCTCCAAACATAATAACCGATAGGACTAAAATCACATGATCATGAAGGCCAGACATGAGGACCACGTAGTATAATAATAGGAATTCACGTAGAAACTAACATTTTATTTCCTAGATATCTTAATTTAAAAATAACTAAAAATTTACAATCCAAATTAACTCGTTGTGTGTGTTTTTGCAGTTTTATTAACCATTCCTTTACATTTCAGGTATCATGGACACCATTAACGAAGAAGAAGAACAATTTCTGAAAACTTTGTCTAGAGGTAGAAATCTCCTTAACAGAACAATCACTAAATTGGACAGCAGCATAAAAGTAGTACCAGGAGATGTTGCTTGGCGATTATATGATACCTACGGTTTTCCTGTAGATCTAACAACATTAATGGCAGAAGAAAAGGGACTTACAGTCGATATGGAAACCTACGAAGAATCCAAAAAACAAGCACAAATTGCATCACAGGTAAGAAAAATAATACAAATTTCCGCTGAATCTATATGAAAATCTTATAGACAATATTCAATCAGCAAAGTATTCTTTTAATAATTACTCTTAGTTTCATATTTTTTTGATTAACATCTGCATTTTTTGATGCATGCTATTTTCTCCATATTTGAACATCTTAGATGATATTGGGGTCGCTTCGTGAACTTTTGTTATTTTTTGCTCTCTATAATATTTTTAACTTCTTTCAATGGTAGGCATATGGTCGACATGTTTTCCATTTTGTTCTTTCATACATAGAGGTTTAACAAAATATATTTATTATATATTATATATATTATCAGTGGCGGCTGGTGACTCAAAAATTTGGTAGTTCTGCAGTATTTTTTTGGTTTTTTTAATCCAATATCTTTTAATCGTTGTATTTTACAACGAGGCTTTTAGTTTGATATTTTACACCATATATTTATTCATTATATATCTATTAAAAAATAATAAAGAACTTACCGATTTTCTTCTTTTCAAATTGAAGATAAATCCAATTATATCAAAAATAGCAATGGTATATTATGGTACACTAGTAATTGTTTTATAGTTTATGTTTTTAGTAGAATCTTATTGATAAATACGCGAAACTAAGGAATGCAAACGAAAAAACACTACAAACAAAATCGCCACAACAATAATTGCATTATAGGGTCTTACGAACTAACTACACACAGAGCCAAATATATTATTTTTTTTTATAAATAAGCTCGATTCGTCGATTTTTTTTAAAGCAAACTTGTCTATAACTTTTTCATTAAAGTTTGGTATTTCTTTTATAAGTGTTTTTTCTACTGACAACATGGTTAATGCTACAAGTCGGTCTTCAGTCATGGAATTTCTCAAGAATGTTTTAATCCGTTTTAAAACTCGAAAAGCACCTTTCAGCTTCTGCCGTACTCATGGGCACTGTAATTAGAATTTGAAGCAGTTTTACAGTTTTTTGAAAAGGCTGTGTTAAATTATTTTCAATTAAAAATTTTAAAAAAGGTATTGCCCCATTAATGTCTCTACAGTCTCTTCTAAAATAAATAACAGATAATTCAGTCTTCAAAGCGCTCCCTATCTAAATTTGGATATGACGCGCAAGTCAGGCTTAAATTATCATCTGGGAAATTATCACAATAATTATCAAATTGCTCAGGATAAAGCAATGAAGTTGCAAGTAGGTGATTTTTAAAAGCAAATCTATCATTTGCACAATTTATGATTATATCACAAACTTCGATAGATGCTCTCCGATGATCTACATCAGTTATCCTTCCGTAACCTTTTAGTTGGTAATGGTTCAACGCATAAACTAGAACCTTGGTCAATGGTATCATCTATTGAATTTCTAACTGAATTCATGTATCTTTCGAAATCTGTCACCTTTTTATTGATTTCGAAAGGATCCGTTTTAGTCTTTTGAAGGGCATTATATAAAACATCTACTTGTGGCATTATGCGATGGAAAAATGTTAACCAAAAAACAAAATTTTGATCCACTAGTATTCTTCGAATGGAAGACGCTGAACTACAGACAGCTGCCTTATCAAACGATTCTTCTATTTCTTCCATACCTTCGATAAAAGAAGATCGATGTTTAAACACAACATTAACAGTTCGAATATTGAAGTTTCAGCGAGTTGGAGCGCCATGAGGAATTTTCTTTTGGACGATTTTATCTAAAACTGCCACTCGTGGCAAATTTTTAAAAAAGGTAGGGATTTCATTTAAATTTCCAAAAAAAGTATAACTTGAGAGTTTTCGGAACAAGCCCTAGACATTATTAAATTTAATTGATGCGCGTAACAGTGTACAAAATGAGCAAATGGATATTTTTCTTTGATTCTGGCTTGAACTCCTGCGTGCTGTCCACACATGACCGCTGCCCCATCATAACTCTGAGCAATTAGTTTATTATTTGAGTTTTCCAGGATAGGATCCAAAACACTGAAAATGTTTTTGCATAGAGTATCTGCATTTAATTTTGAAGGTACCAAATATGTCCAACATCGTTCTACCGGTGCTCCATTTCGACAATATCTAAATACTACAACTATTTGTGATTTTGCTGAAATGTCTGTAGTCTCGTCGGCCATGACAGCTAGATATGGAGATTCCCGAATTTCCTCCAAAATTTTATCCTGGCATAATTCCAACATGCAGTCCAAAATATCATTTTGAATTTCTTTAGAAATGCCCTTAAAAACCGTCGATTCTTCCAAGTGTTGTGCCAAAGTTATATCCGATTCAGCAGTAAAAATTTATGAGGCCGCGAAAAATTCCAGGATTGTCGGATGTTTGTGTCTCGTCGTGTCCCCGAAGCGCCAATTCGAAAACACTACAAAATTTTATGCAGTCTATAATTTTTGAGAGAACATACCTATTTGTTGTTACAGCTTCATTGAATTTTTGAATATTTATCCAGTATGCAGAATCTAACTGTTCTTTAATATTCACGGAGCCTAATAAAGCATATTCCATTTGATTGTGCAAATGATGCTTAGAAGTTTCGTGCTTTTTTATTTTATCACTTAAATGTACTAAGTCTGTTACACCAACTTGCGTCCATGACTTATCACCTCCAAAGAGTACACAAGGAAAACAGAAAAGAGCGTTTTTTCTGTTGCAGCCACATATCCAACTATTTCTCGTATAAATATCGCAATTAAATTGTCGTTTGTAATTTTTCCCTCGGCTTGATCCTTCTTTTTCGATTTTAATATCCGGCAAAGGACGTCCTTTGCATTTTAATTCTAGTTTTTCGTCATAAGAATATTTAAAGAATCTCTTAACATTAATCAAATTATAAATAACATCCATCCTGAACAGCACTTTTATTCTCAATATAAATACCGAATTACGTGCAGGACAACTTATTTTAACAGTCGTCGCGTCGCGATCACCGATTATTTATAATTACAATAAACGTAGGTTTGTACACACTAGTTCGAACTGCGACAAATGCAGCTCAAATATTGCTTTCAGTCGTTACCTGAAAAGTGTAGGCGAGGGGTTGAGCGGGTGTTATCGGGGATATCTTTAACAGTTCACAGCTCGGAGTAGCACCGGTCCGGTCAAATAAGTGGGACTTGCTGTCGCCATGAGATGCGACGGACGACAGATTAAAATAAAGGCGGCCATGCACGAAAACCATCTAAATGAATTTAGATTTTATAAGTAGTGATATTTTTTATTTAATTTTCAAAGTAATTTTGTTTGGATTATTTTGGTGGTTCTGCAGCTCCGCAGCACTTATATACCAACCGCCACTGTATATTATATATATTATCATTTTATTTAACTAGCTTGATCAAACAATATGTAGTGTACACCACAAGAAAGTAGGTTTAGACCACAGCGATTTGGCCATTGACTTCGTTTTCATCTGCTATAGTTTTTCATTGTACCGAATGCCTATCATTTTCTTTTTCTTTTGATATGCTCCAATTGAAGATTTTGATATTTTTATAACATCATTTTTGACAGTACGATTCATATGCCAATGTTTTTATCAACTTATTTTCAAGGGTAAAGGCACTGGTGTAGCTGATACTATTAACTTAGACGTACATGCAATCACAGAACTTCAAAATAAACAAGTACCGCCTACGGATGATTTAGAAAAGTACTCATATGATTCTACGGAATCCCCAGATTCGGATTACACTTTCAAACCTTGTGAAGCGACAGTAATAGCTCTCAGATACAATAAAGAATTCGTTGACGAGGTTCATACTGGACAAGAATGTGGAATACTATTGGATAAAACCAATTTTTATGCTGAGCAAGGTTAGTATTTAAAATAATAATTAGTTTGAATTACAGTCATATCGATGATAATTAAGTAGATCTTTTTTTTGCATCATAAAACTTAATGTAGTAATTTTTGTGCACCATAAAACTTAATTAATTGTGGGTAGCGGGTAGGAACTCCTTTGGATAGTCTTACCAGGGAAAGTGAATCAACCCTGCTCTCCACAGATTCCAGGAGTTTCCTGACCCGGTAAACTAGTACCTGCTTAGGGTCCCTTGTCCAGGGTCACGGATGATGACCACAACGGTATCCACGGCGGTGAACATCTTCGGTACGGTGTGTATGGAGGAAGTGGCGATCCCCGATTTTAGGGTTCGTATAAAATTAAAAGGTTGGACGGAACCCAGTAGCGGTAGATCCCGTAATCCGTCTAGGAGAGGAAGACTGTGAACCCAAACCCTTAGTCCTTCAGGTTGGGGATTAAGGCATTGAGCTAACTCCCCAGTACTTTTAAAAAACATAAAAATGTTAAAAACCCAATTACACGCCTCGGAATAGGACAGCACAACAAAGACGACATGAGCTTCGAAAAAGGACACAATTTTTTGTTCATGGAAAGTTCAAGGTATATCAAAAAAAACTCAATGAAGTCTTAAATGAATTAACAGAACTAAAAATAGACATAGCAGTCATTACCGAAACAAAAAAAAAGGGAACCAGCTCTGAAAATCTAGGAAAATATGACCATTTCTATTGTGGAGTACCAAAAGAATGTAGAACTCAACAGAGAATTTCTTTAATGAATTTATTTTCTCAACCATTTCTATAGTGGAGTACCAAAAGAATGTAGAGCTCAACAGGGAATTTCTTTAATGATTCACCGAAGACTAAGAAAGTTCATAACAACCTTGGAAGACTTATTCAAAAATAGATTGGATGAGAAGCTACAAATTCCCGCCCCTAAGAGTATCGACCAGTTATATGAACATATAAAAACTGTTTACACGAAGCAGCATTTGAAGCAATGGGATACTACATAAAACCCAAGGTAAACAAATCATATTGAGGGGATAACGAAATAGAGTAAGAAATAAAATGTAAAAGACAACTATACCAACAATATTTATGCTCGAAATCATTACAAGGACAAAATAAAATATAAAGAAAAACAAGCAGAAGTATGAAGGAAAATCTCTAAGAAGAAGAACGAGTCTTGGGAATAAAACTGCCAACGAATAAAATACTTATACCCGGTTCGCTATTCCCAGTCCGAACTGTCTAGTGATTTTAGTAATTTTTTTTTTCGAAGTTAGTAACTTTTTGACAGACTCGAAGTGGCTGGAAAATACTATACAACCAAGCATACGTGCTCTTAGTCAATATTAATGTAAACAAAAGTAAATAAAATAGAACTTTGCCGACAATCAATATTTGTTTATTTACACCGTATAATGTATTGATAACAAATAATAAAATTATTTATTGTACAAAATAAAAAAGTGGGAATAAATTCTACAAAATTAAGAAGTCAAAGTGAGGTTAAATAAGAATAAGACACAGCAAGTTCCTTATGTATTTACAACGTTTACATAATTCGATAAATACATTTTAATGATCAACTTACCTCAACAGGGTTTTCATTCGGTAAAAAAAATGGTAGGCATTTTGAATAAACCTTTATGCAGTTTTATTACCTTGTAATCTAGGAACAGCATCCTTACTAATCTAAAAATATTAACTTAAAAAAAAAAACTTCTTTAAAAAACATTTTATCATATTTATTAAGAAAAACTTACCAACGCATTAGCTGATGGAACAAATGGAAAACTTTGACTATCCATAATAATAAAATTTAAAATATAACTAATTAATTAACTGAATAGAACTAACAAAAGAATTAAACAAAGATAATAAAACAATATTAAATTAAATAAACAACGCGAATAATACAAATATTTACTACAATATTTTAAATTGTAACAATTCAAATATTATATTTTAAATATACAGGGAAAATTTGATGAGTTTAGTATACACTTCCACTATTTAGACTAATTCTTCTTTTTTTCAAAAAAGAGGTCTGCAATAGTAGTATACTTGAGCTATTTATACTGAGAAGTAGGAATTGTTGTGTTGTAGGTTTCCTACAATGAGTCTGTCAAAATATGCCCTAGGTAAGCGAGTAGACAATATCTTGTAACGGGTAGCTCTTTCGGGACGACAGACTCAGTAAAACACAGATTGAAATAAAAATACATCTATTAATTTAATATATGTACAATAAAATAAATTCTCCGCCGTATATACAATAAAAATAAAACGAATCCTTCGTCCCGTCGGGATCCCGCGATGAAGGAATCCCCGGCAAACGTCTATAAAAGAAAGAAAAAGTTATTATTAATAAACCAAAACAAATAAAATAGGTGAAGTCAATCGCACGCAGACTTATACTCGCTTCCGCTTCAATTCAGCGGGAGCTCCGAACACACTCGCAAATTCGGCTATGCAGGCCCCACGGTAAAGTTCAATACACAATACCGATGGGTTCTGCTTGGTTAAGGACAGAGTATGATCCTCAATACGGAAATATCTCTGTCCGGGTTGGCTCGCCGGTTCAGTACACTGGCGACTCGAGGAGCCTAGAGCGCTAGCTGCAAGACTGACTAATTCCGCTACTCACATGCCTTAAATAGCCGCTCCGAATCCCACTCACCATCTCGCTGAAGAGGTGGATGCGCCAACCTTGTCACTCCCACTTCAAACTGTTAAACGATGAGAACATCGTTACAATCTAGGAGGAACCAGAAGCACAGAAAGCTGGAAACTGATAAAAAAATTGAGAAAATAAAATAATAAAGAAGTAATACAGAGCATAAAACCTTAAGACTGGGAAGAGTATTTCAAAGAACTTTTGGTAGAGAGTAGAGTCGAATTTCTAGAACATAGAAATCAATAGAAACCAAGATAGAATTTCAATAGTTTGCTCGCCAATAAAATTAACAACATTGGAAGTTCAAAATGTATATAAACAGCTGAAGAGAAACAAAGCACCCGGGCCAGGGATATACCCGGAGAATTGTTTAAGTACGGAACGAACGAATTGTACGAATGTCTTCGACAACTATTTCAGAAATGCATAATCACAAGCGAAATCCCTACGGAATGGAAGATAACATACCTCAGTACTATACATAAAAAGGGCGATAAAAATAATTGTGAAAATGACCGAGGAATAGGTGTAACTGTAAGGAGAGGAACAAGCAAGATTTCGTACGGGTCGATCCACTATTGACCACATTTTCTCCTTAACCCAGATAATAGAAAAAAATATGTCACAGAATCAAGAGATTCATATGTTGTTCGTCGACCTACGGAAAGCCTACTAAACTCGGTTTCATCGTTCTTGGCGTGTGCCTGAAATAAGCTACTACGGAATTTTTAATATTCGTCTCTCTGATACACAGATGTGTAATTCAATTGTGCGAGTCACGTTCGTCATGGTAAAGTGCAATTAGAAGGGAATGAAGAGACCTCTCACGTCTCCCAGTATTGTAGCAATAACACCGATGCGTTTGGCCGATACGGTGTCGGTGATAAGTTCGGCCTCTTTACAATACAGATAACTGCCACTGGAGGAGGTAAACGAATCGAGCTTAGACAAGGAAAGACAGATGAAACAACTTATTGCAAGTGTTTTTACACGCACACACGCCAAGAAAGATGAAAACGTCTATATATATTTTTAGTTTATTAGATTATATATTAACTGAAACAAGCTTTTAAATACCGTTACATATGGTCTAGTTTAAAATTATTTTATAAAATGACCGTCTGCAATTTTTGTTGGCGTGGTTGTTTTTCGGTGCTATATATTACTTTTTTTAGGTGGTCAGATCTATGACACTGGATACATTGTAAAAGTTGGTGACGAAAGTGTGGAATTTTCAGTGAAAAATGTGCAAGTCAGAGGAGGTTATATTATTCATATTGGAAATTTGGAAGGCACTTTAAAGAAGGGCGACAAAGTTAGTCTACATATTGATAACAACAGAAGACGATTGATCATGAGTAACCATACCGGTACTCACGTTTTGAATTACGCTTTGCGAAAAGTACTAGGTACGTTATATTCAGGGATAGGTTGAGTTTACCGAAAGTACAAGCTGATTATAGCCTTTTTCTTCTTAAAATGCCTATCCGTTCCGGATGTTGGCGATCATCACGGCTATATTTACTTTGTTTACTGCAGCGCGGAACAGTTGAGTGGTAGTCGTGTTATACCACTTTCGTAAATTTTGAAGCCAGGAAATGCGTCTTCTTCCCGGTCCTCTCTTACCATTTACCTTCCCTTGGAGAACCAACTGGAGAAGGCCGTAACGTTCTTGATTTCTCATTACATGTCCTAGATATTCCAACTTTTTAGTTTTGACGGTCACGAGAATTTCACATTCTTTCCCATTCTACGCAGGACCTCCACATTAGTAACTCTGTTAACCCAGGATATACGTAAGATGCGCCTATAACACCATATTTCGAAAGCTTCGAACCGATTCATAGATGCAACAGTCAGTGTCCACGCTTCCATTCCGTAGAGCAGAACTGTGAGTATGTAGCAGTTTAATAGACGGCATTTTGTTTTTAATGATATGTCTCAACTGTTGAAAATGGTTCTCATTCTAACGAATGCTGCTTTTGCTTTTATTATTCGCTGTTTAATTTCTGTTGAGTGGTTCCATTCGCTATTTAAATTGGTGCCTAGATATGTATATTGCTCGACTCTTTCGATATTCTGTTGGTTGATTGTAAGTTGAGCGTTTAGTATTGGTTTTTTAGTAATTGTCATAAATTTCGTTTTCTTTATGTTAAGAGCTAGTTCGTATCTGTTGCTGACTTCTGTTATGCGATTTGTTAATATCTGTAAGTCATTCAGATTATCGGCAAAAACTATAGTGTCATCTGCATATCTAATGTTATTCAACCATTCACCGTTTATTTGTATTCCTTTCGCACAACCGTCTATAGCTTCCTTATTAAATACCCATTCAAAATAAATATTGAACAACAACGGAGACAAAATACAGCCCTGTCGTACTCCACGTTCTATTGCAATTTTATCAGTTAACTGGTCTTCTATTTTGATTTTGGCCGTTTGATTATAGTAAATGTTTCTGATAATTCTAAAATCTTTGTTGTCAATTCCAATTTCTTGCATTAGAGTAATTAATTTCTCATGTTTTACTCTGTCAAATGCCTTCTGGTAATCTATAAAGCATACGTATATGTCACAATTCACATCCCTGCATCTCTGAAATAGCACCTGTACAGCAAAAAGGGCCTCCTGTGTTCCCAGAGCATCACGAAATCCGAATTTGTGTTCTTGTTAGTTGTTCACATTTTGTATATATTCTTTTGTGAATGACTTTTAGAAATGTTTTTAGTAAATGGCTCATAAGGCTCATAATTCTATAGTCTTCGCACTTTCTCGCATTGGGTTTTTTTGGAAGATTTATAAAAGTTGACACTAACCATTTTTGGGGAATTATGCCTGTATCATATATATTGTTAAATATATTTGTCAACTATTTTATGCCATCATAGTCCATAAGTTTTAAAAATTCTGAATGAAAATTATAATGGCCTACTGCTTTACCGTCTTTGGTGCTTTTGATGGCATATTTTACTTCTTCGACTGTAAATGGTGGCCCAGATTCGCAATTGGTGTTTGTTGTGATACCAGTGTTACTTCGTACATCTTCAAAAGTTTTTTTCACGTATTTAATCCAAATATCCCTTTTATGCTCTATTTCCAATACTATGTTTCCCTGATTATCTGTCAGGAATCCAGTGTTCTTGTGTTTATATAAGCCTGCTGCTTCTTTAGTCTTTTTATGGAGGTTAAATGACTCATGTTTTCGGTATAATGACTCTATCTCTGTACACTTCGAGCTAAACCAATTTTCTTTTGCTATTTTAATAGTCCTTTTTATTTCGTTATTTATGTGTTGTAGTAATTCTTATTATCGTTAGCGTTTCTTCTGTCTTCCATCATACATAGAATCTCCTCCATCATCCATTCCTTTTTCTTTGTTCTTTCAGGTTTTAAGTATTTCTTTGTTATTTCTTGACTTACTTTGTGCAAATTTTCTAGTTCTACATCTGTGTTATCTATTTCTGTACGAGCCCACGTTTTTTTCTTTTAGGCGTTTTTGTACCTTTTCCTTTACTGTTTTATTTTTCAGTTGGTTAATATCGTACTTCGTAATTTTTAGTCTTTGAACTTTCTTTAAACTAAGTTTCATTTTGGCGATAAGGGATTGTGGTCCGAATTTATGTCGGATCCCGGGTACGCTTTAACATATGTTATAGAGTTTCTAAATCGTTTTGTTAACAAGAATATAGTCTATTTGATTTCGTACTGTGTGATCTGGAGTATCCTGGGGAGATATAGTCGTCTTGGAGGAAGATCATAAAAGGTGCTTGTCACTACGAGCTGTTCTTCAGTTGCAAATTCAATCAAACGGTCTCCGCGTTCATTACGTTCCCCTAGACCAAAGGATCCCACTAAATTTCCACATTGTCCTTTGCCAACTTTGGCATTAAAGTCTCCCATTATTAGTATTATTTCGTTTTTCTGAATCCGTTTGACAATATTAGTAAGGTCATTGTAAAATTATTCTATAATTTCTTCTGGGGCGTCCGCTGTAGGGGCGTATACTTGAATAATGTTTGTTTTTATGGGAGTTGTGTTTAGCTGAACTAAGAGCATCTTATCTGATACAGGTACAAAGTGACTGACACTATTGGCGATTTTATTATTCATAATTAGGCCCACTCCATTTATATGTTCGTTCTTAAGATTTCCTGAGTAGAATATTTTGTGATCTTTGATAACTCGGTATCCCGTATCTGTCCAGCGCATTTAGCTTATTCCCATAATACTAATCGAGAGTCTTTCCATTTCTTGAATGACGTTATAGATTTTTTCCGCCTCGTACATTGTTTTAACGTTCCATGTACCTATCTTTATGGCTGTTCGCAATACCGTTAGAAATCCATCATCTAGAATGTAGTCTAGAGCCGCAAATGTCAAACATGGAACAAAAAATTTCGGTGTATTCGGTATTTCGGTAACAAATAGCAGTGTTGGCATGTTTTTATAATGTAGATACTGTATGCTTCAGACATAAAAAGATAAAGCTTTAGAAAAGTACATTTTGTTTATATTATTTTATGAATTCTGCAATTTTTGATTTATATAAAACAACAATGAGTAAATATTTGTTTCTTTGGAGATTAATTGTAGTTAATTATTAGAAATTTTTTTGGCAATTAACATTTGATAGATTAGGGGATAGACTTGATAATCGCCAAATCAGCAGTTGTCAGATTACAACAGATTTTTGCAATTAATCTCAAAAGAGACAAATATCTACTCGTTATTGCTTCATATAAATTAAAAATTGCAGAATTCATAAAATAGTATATTCAAAATGTATTTTTTAAAAGCTTTATCTCTTTATATTTGAAACATACAACATATGCATTATAAAAACATGCCAACCCTTCTTTCTTCTTTGAGTACCTTGCCCAAGTTTTAGGCGTGGGTAGCTTCGATGCCAACACTGCCAAACCGAAATAGTTTTGACATTTGCGGCTACATTCAGCTTGTACTTTCGGTAAACTCAACCCAGGGATACTATTAGTGTATTAAGGGATTAATGTATACTATTATCCACAAGGAAACTGAATTCCTGTAGTTGACCGTATATCCATGTATCACAAAAAACTTATTTTAAACAAAATATTAGTATAAAATTAAAGGTATATTAATAAAAAAAACTTAACTATTTCATCATCAATGCTATTCTGGTTTTGCATGTTTGGAGCCACTAAATATAGGGTTAAAAATCCTTTAAATGTAGTTAGATCAGCTTTGAATTATACTTTGATATAAAATAATAGGATGTTTAAGTTATAAACGGAATTGATCACGTGGCAACGTAGGACTCCACTAGGGTTGCTAGTCATTAGGCGAAGTATCTGTGGAGTCTTGTTGATAGCAACTCAACAATCAGTTGCTATCATAAATATCACAAATATAGAATTTTTTTTTAAATAAAAATTGTATACTATTAACCCTTAAATCATGATTTTTTTTTATTGATGTCAAATATCCAAAAACGCCTTTAGCGGAAGCTTAGAAATAATAAAAAAATTTAATAGAAATTAAGTTTAATTTTAAACATTTGTTTTTGAGAATAACAGGTTTGTTGTCAAAATGCTACATTCTGCCATTGATTATAAACCACTACCTAGATACCTCACTCTAAGGTAAAAACGAATTTAGTGTTAAACTCCGCCCACTTACACTTCTTTGCCCCTCACGCCAAAGTACTACCTGACTGTATGGTGGCGACATTCATTGAAATCTTTGCCAATATTGAAAAATAAATTTCAGTTCCCTGGTCCGGCAATTCTCTAGTGCATTAGAGAATTCCTCTTATATCGTCCTATAATAATATAAAATCCTTATATCGTCCTCTTTAGAGGACGATATAAGGATGCCATTCTGGATTTTCACAAGTAATTTTAACGTGCTTGTAATCTATATTATGAAATTAAGATTTTACTTCAGAAAAAACGCTAAAAATTGATTAATGAAAACAGTAAAGGTTTTCTAAAAATTATTTATTTATCAAACACAATACAAAAAAATAACAAAATATAAAATACATAATAAAATTAGCAGTAATAAATTACATCTCATGTAAATTACTTTTTTGTAACTTTTCAAACAAATTAATTTCCAGGATTGATGCAAACTAAAATATTTCAAGCTAATATACAGAATTTATTTCCAGATTTAGTCCATTCACTCTCGGTAAAATATTGTAAAACCTCATAAGTTTAAAGAATCGCTTGGATTGACATGAAATTTGGCTTACGCTTAGCTAAGATGTCAAAGGAAAAAAGATTATGCTTTTGCCCTATGGATCAGTATCACCCCTTATCGGGAGAGAAAAAATATATGTTCAAGATAAGTTCGGAAGTGCCTAAAATCAGTAATTCTAATCAACTTTGGTTTTATAGACGTTTTTCACTATGTCAATACTTTTCGA